ACACAGCTACATTCTGGTAAAGGGTAGGAGGTATACACTGAACCATTGCCTGTGGTACATGGAAACAACACACACAGCTACATTCTGGTAAAGGGCAGGAGGTATACACTGAACCATTTGCCTGTGGTACATGGAAACAACATACACAGCTATATTCTGGTAAAGGGTAGGAGGTATACACTGAACCATTTCCTGTGGTACATGGAAACAACATACACAGCTACATTCTGCAACATAGTCAAGAAAGTCATGTAGTTATAATTTTGCCTGCATGTATGTCTGTGCACCACATGTGTGCTTGGTGCCTGAAGAGGCCAGAAAAGGACACCAGATCTCCAAGAACAAGAGTAATCGATGGCTATGGGCCACATGCTTCAGAATGAACCTTCCTGAAGAGCAGCCAGTGCTGTTAACTGCTAAGCCATCTCTCTAGTTTCACATATTATCAGCAGCAGCAGCAACATCATTATTATTTTATTATTATTTGGTTGTTGTTGGTTTATTTTGGGGGTGTTTGTTTTATTTTGGGTTTTTTTTGTTGTTTTGTTTTAATGCTGGGTCTCAGTTTTAGCTCTGGCTACCCTGGAACTCACAATATAGACCAGGTTGACCTTGAACTCACAGAGATCCATCTGCTCCCCCACCCCCGACATCCCAAATGCTGGAATTAAAGGTGTTTGACAACAGCCTGACAGAAATCATGACATTTTAAATTCTGACCTATGAGGGGCTAGAGAGGTGCCTCGGTGGCTAGAGGCCCAAGTTCAGTTCCTAGAACTCACAACAGGTTTCTCACAACCCAACTACCTGTAACTCCAGCTCCAGGAGACCCAGCGTCCTCTTCTGGTCTCCTGAACTCACATTTACTCAACTGCACAAGACACACATAACACATAATTAAAAATAAAATAATATTCTGACCTACTTTGGGAGATGGCTTTTTCCAAGCTGGTTGTGGTGCATGCATGCATTTAATCCTAGCACTTGGGAGGCAGAAGCAGTCAGATTTCTGTGAGTTCGAGGCCAGCCTACATAGTGAGTTGCAGGACAGCTAGGATTATGTAGAGACCCTGTCTCAAAACCAAACCCCCCCCCAAAAAAAAGTATCAGTATCAGAAAGCATGTGTTCATGAAAAATTCTAATGATTAGGAGTAAATTTTAGATTTATTGTTAATACCCATACAGTGGCTCTATCAAACAAAACATACCATATACCTACCTCTTATATCATGCTTTGTCCTGATGGAGCCCTATAGAAGCATTTACTCCATGTGGTAAAGGGTGTTGTTATGATGCCAAATGGCTTCAAAGCACCTCATTGTTTAAGTACTCAATTCATGAAGGAGCATTGTAGGTTTATTCTTCATTGGATCAAACCAATCCTCCCACTACTAGATGCATAGTGCTACTTTACAGGATGCCCAGCAGAGTAAGAGGCAGATTATCTTTTAAGGCATACAAATGTTTTGCTCCAAAACACAGTAGAAGACAAATATATAATGGTCCATTCCTTTTCTCAGTGGTGGGTATTCCTAAAATGATGCCTAATTAGGATTGCCAATTCACTAAAACTGCAATGTTTCTCTCCTTGGTAACCAATTCCATAGACTTAAAAAGTTTTTAGGAATGAGTGAGTGTACAGCTGGCATCACATGATAGTAGCCAATAAAGTTCTTTCCCAAATTATTTCTAGTTGCATTGCCTTCTGTATAGATATTGCATAAGTGAGATGTTCAACTTCCTAACATGGTACTATATGGATGATGGATAGAGTTCCAAGGACCAGCAGTCACTCAAGGATTGGGTAAAAAGGTCAGTAGACAGAGTAACACCAGGACAAAATTTATTTACCCTAGGCTGAATAAAGAGTTGACCATAGCTGAATGGGATGCATTTGGGCCATGGGACACATATGTATCCAGCCACGAGACTGAATGCATTATTGATATGGATTATGCTCATTGTTAATAATAAAGCTGATTGGCCAATGACTGGGCAGGAAGAGATTGAGCACAAGACTAGGGGAATTCTGAGAAGAGGAAAGGCAGAGTCTGGCAGCCACCAGTCAGCCACCAAGGAAGCAAGGTGTATTAGAACACAGGTAAAGTCATGAGACACATGGCAAAACATAGATAAGAAATATAGGTTAATTTAAATGTAAGAGCTAGCTAGTAATAAGCCTGAGCCATTGGCCAAACATAAATAATATTAAGCCTCCAAGTCAAGTATTTGGGAAGTGGCTGCTGGGTATTTGGGAGTTGCTGCAAGACAAAAATTTCTGCCTATACATTATTCTATTTCTACTTTTAGAGATTGGAAAATGCTATATTCCTCCTTGAGGGTGTACATTCTGCACCTCCATAGCAGAGGATATCAGAACTACTGCAGTGACCGCATACCTGTGGCAGCCTTGGAAAGTCTAGAGCATATTCTGATACCAGGAAGAAGTCACAGTGAAATTTTTCCAATCAGCATTAGGTTGCCTCAGCAATGAACAAAAGCAAAACCAAACCAAACCAATGCTGCCCAGTTTTTAACCAGGCAGCCATACAACGAGTGTCCTCAAGTTGTATAGCCATTTCCTCTGAATTGATATATTTCCACCTAGAGGAAGTAGGTAAGCTACTGATACAAGGGAAGTTAAACTCATAAGGCTCAGGAAGTAAACAAAACTTACAAAGTATTTCTGGAGAGGTAGTTAGCAGTTATAAGCTTTTGCAGGGGACCAAAATTAGGTTCATCGCACCATGTTGAGACGTTCACAACCACCTGTAACTCCAGAGATCCGATGCCCTCTTTGGGCCTCCATGGGCACCAACATGCATGCATATATGTGTGTGAGACACACACACATTTTTTAATCTTACAGGGCTCAGGAGATCCTGAAACCTAGAAAATTCATAACACCCCTCCCCAATAATAGGTGGGAGAAGGGAATGGGAGAAGAGGGGGGGGAACTGCAGTTATGATATAAAATTAATTAAAATAATTGCTGGAGAAAAGAGACTCTCTGATCAGTCATGATGCAAGTAGTGCAGAACTCTAGGGATCAATATTTGTGAACACACACCCATGCTAAAATGTGGGTTCCAGTGACAAAGCTGCCCTTGAGTGGTCCATGTTCCTATAAGGAATCTCTCACGTATGTTCCTGTAATTCTTTGGTCTGTTGGTGGTATCCTGTATGGAGGGAAGAGAAATTGTTTACATCTCCCCTGGAAAATTACATAACACAACTGGCACAAGAACAGGGATCCAAAGGGAAAAAGATGTAAGTTTTTAATAGATGAGCCTCTGCAAGACATTCCAGATTTGAACAACAGTGACCAATGTATTCATTATTCATTAGTATGCTGTGGGATGGCCTGTATGTCAAATGTGTTACTCTGATTGGTCAATAAATAAAACACTGATTGGCCAGTGGCCAGGCAGGAAGTATAGGCGGGACTAACAGAGAGGAGAATTGAGAGAACAGGAAGGCGGAGGGAGAGACTGCCAGCCGCTGCCATGACAAGCAGCATGTGAAGATGCTGGTAAGCCACAAGGCACATGGCAAGGTATAGATTTATAGAAATGGATTAATTTAAGATGTAAGAACTAGATAGCTAGAAGCCTGAGCCATTAGGCCAAACAGTTTAAATAATATAAACGTCAGTATGTTTATTTTATAAGTGGGCTGTCGGACTGCCGGAGCTTGACGGAACCCGTAGAGAAAACTCTCCAGCTACATTAGTATTCATTAGTAAATCACTCTGGTCATTCCTTCAGACCATGTGTAGTCCCCATTCTTACCAGCTACTACACTTGTAGTTGCAGACATCATTTACCATTGCATAAACTGTAATACCTTCTTAATAAATCTGTGTTTGTCCTTGACCCTCTCTTAGCCTGTTCAGTACTAACTTTAAAAGTCAAAGAGCTGAGCATTTACACAAGGTTATTTTAGTATACCCCCAGACAGAGCAGAGAAGTCACAGAATTTATAGGAACAGGTTTCTTGGCTCATTTAATATCTCGTGGGCAACAGATATTGGAACATGTGACAGAAAACAAAACAAACAACAAAAGAAAGCTCGTGTCTGTCTTTGGTCCCAAGTTCCTAACAGCTAGCTTCCTGCACTATTTAGGGCAAGTCCTTACCACAGCCTCCTTACCTGTCCCACATAATTCCTGACTCAAGACTTTTACTCCTAATGTTCCATTAGGAACAATTTCCCCCAGATGTCTACATGTTTTCATCGCTTCCTAAATATGCTTCATCTATGCAAACAGCCTCCCCCACCCCCACTTTTGATTCACTATTTAGTACCTACTGGGTATTTCTTCTTGCCTCCTTTTGCTTGAACACAGGGGACCTCATTTTCTTTACTACTGTATGTTCAGTTCTTAGAACAGCGACAGAGCAGTCACCCACCAATACATATTTTTACATGCTGCAATAAAAAGTAGCTGCTCTTGGCTGTGAGGCTGGGGTTGTCTCTGGAAGAGGACTTTCATTACTTTTGAGAGCCTCAGTATTAGGTAGAGACCTCGCTGACCAGGTTTCTGTTCCCGCTAACTGAGGCCTTGCCCAGGTTCCACAGGATCGCTTGTCATTGGTTGAACTCTCCAAGTCCGTCCTGCCATCCAATAATAGTGATGTCTGGAGGCCAGGGCACCTGCAAATCAGCTCTAGGGCACAGAGATGCCGAGACCTCCGGTTGCCTAGAAGGGCCATAGGGACGGAGGGGCGGGTCGGCTGGACGACTCAGCCCCGGGGTACAGAGATGCGGAGACCTCCCAGTGCCTAGAAGGGCCGCAGGCGCAAGGAAGGGGAGCAAATCACAGCTGCAGTTCACAGGCTTTGTTCCGAGGACTGTGTGTGGTTCGGTGAGGGATCCGCGGCAGCCAGCTGAACACCGGGCTCCAGGAGCGAGGTGCATGCTGCCTCCCTAGGTCCTGGGGGTGCCTGCCTTTGTCCAGCATCTCCTCTGCATGTTGGAAGAGTGACGGGACCCGCCAAGGCTGTCCGGGTTCAGGTCGCTCCAGGACTACCTAACCACGGACAAACCCAGCTGTGTCACCAGTGAGGACACTGGGGTCGGGAGAAGTGGGTAAGCTTGCTCAAGGATATTCATTCATTTATGTTTGCACTCAGCAAACACCGTCCATCGCTTACGAGTTTGCTGGGCTGCGGCGGATATAGTGTGTCCAAGGCAGGTAGTCTGAAAGGGAAGATAGGAGCAAGCTTAGAGGCAGACCCTGCCCTGCGCATCAAAAGGGAAACAGCATATTATTCCGAGGCCTAACAAAATTAAGAAATGAATTATCAGGAAAACATATAGCATCCATTTAAGGTTTCATGTTTAATATTTATTATTGTTATTGTTACTATTGTATCATTTGAAATAGGGTCTCACTATATAACCCTGGCTGACTTGAAATTTGCTCTGTAGTCCAGGTTGGCCTTGAACTCACACAGATCCTCCTGCCTCTGCTTCTCGAGTGCTGGGATTAAAAGTATATGTGGCCACCATGCCCAGCTACTAGTCTTTTTTTTTATTATTATTAATATTATTATTGTGTAATGTGTGTGTGTAGGTGCCAACACTCATATCACAGCCTAGTGTGAGGATCAGAGGACGTCTCTCCATCCACTGTGGGAAGTGATTGAACTAAGGTCATATTTAGGTATGTGAACTTAGGTCACCTGCTAAGCCAAGGTATCATCCCTCTTCTAGTCAGTCTCTCTTCTTAAATTATTTTGTTAGTTGTGTGTGTGTGTGTGTGTGTGTGTGTGTGTGCTTGGCGAGCACTTTCACACACTGACCCACCTCACCAGCCTGTAAGCTTGGCTCTCTCTCTTTAAGATCTGTTTGTGTGTGTGTATGATGTGGGGGTGGCAAATGTAAGTGCAGGTGCCTACAAAGTCTAGAAGAAGGTTGGAGTTCAGGTAGTTGTGAGCCACCTGATGTGAACTTGGGTCTTCTGGAAGAACAGTATGAACTCTGAACCACTGAGCTATCTCTGCAGGCCTCTGCCCTAGTCTCCTTAAAGAGACTTAACAGCCAATTACTCGCCTTCTTCCATCTCAGGGGAATTCTCAGTTGGAGTGCATTTTGCAAGTAAAGAATATGGAGAGTCTTAGGTATCCACAGAACAGGTGAAAAGGAGTAGATTTGATGTTTTAGAATAAGGATTTCTTTCAGACGTAGAAGGCTTGATCTAGAGCAAGTCATTCAGTCTCTGGGAACCTCATTTCTTCATCTTTCAAATGAGGATGATGGTGCTATTGTTTAGTTCTACAGGCCAGGAAGTTAACAAAAGATGGACACTACCTTGAGTGAACACTTAGAGTTGAGGTCTCAGAGAACTCTTTTTTTTTTTTTTTTTTTTTTTTTTTTTTTTTTTTTTTGGTTTTTCGAGACAGGGTTCCTCTGTGTAGTTTTGGTACCTGTCCTGGATCTCACTTTATAGACCAGGCTGGCCTCGAACTCGCAGAGATCCACTTGCCTCTGCCTCCTGAGTGCTGGGATTAAAGGCGTGTGTCACCACCGCCTGGCCTGAGAACTCTTTCATTGTGTTTGTTTACAGCGATTCAGAGCCTGTCAAGAACTTCTGCACTTAACCCGAGGAAGCAATCAGGCAGAATTTCTGCTGGGCAGATCCTTTGGATTGAAGCTACTGTGCACGATGAGGAGGGTGAGTTACTCTCTTCTCTCCCAAATAAGCCATAGCCACTCAGTCTGTGGCGTTAGTCTGGGGACAGGAATCTTGCCTACCAGAAAAAAATGGGGATCAGGATTGAAAGGAATTCTTTCCTTTCTCCTCCCTTCAATTCTTCCCCCTTAATTTTTTTTCTGTTTTGAGATAAAGCCTCAGATACCCCAGGCCACCCTCAAAATTGCTATGTAGCCAAGACTGGCCTTGAACTCTGATCCTCCTGCCTCCACCCCCCAAGTGCTGGGATTATATACTTACACCACTATGTCTAGCAGACAGGGAGACTTTTGAGGATATTATCAGGTAAGAGAAAACACAGAAACGAGAGGGGGGAACCTCTGGACCTTGAGGGATAGAGTTTGGGTGATGGGAAAGAATATGAAGGAACTCAGACTTGGGTGCCATGGGACTTAAATTTGAATCCTAGTGCTCTTTGAGGTCCAGTTTCCCTATCTGTCCATTTGGATATAAGTCTCAGAGCTAGATGTGGTAGTCCCACCACACGAAATGTGGAGCAGTTTCCAGGATTCAAGATTACTGGGAGTTCGAGGTCCTCCTCGGCTACCTAGTAAGACCCTATCTGAAAACAAACAAAAGCGGAAAATGTCTGGTATGCTAGTGTGTCCCTTCCCACTCTCAACGTTCTACAGTCTGTGAGCAGCGTGACTGGTCAGTGTCTTAGGGGATGTGGATGGTTATGCTGAGATATAGTTGTTAGTACACAAATACATTGTCATATTTATTTAGAATATGGAGTCTTTTAAAAATTATTGCTGCCTGGCATGGTGGTGCATGCTTTTAATCCCAGCACTTGGGAGGCTGTGATGATATTTTATTTG